GGAGGGCGCGGAAGGTACCAGAACGTGGGTAAGTACATGTACATGTAGTAAGCGGGGGTGGAAGCCGGTGCGCCGGTGCGCGCATGCATGTACAAAGGGATGGAGCGGGGAGGGAGGGGGAAAAGAATGGTATCAAGTCTACGACGCGCGGCGCCCTCGAAGCGGGCGCCGAATTAGGAATTGGGAGACCCCCGCCCCCGAACCCGTCCGCCCGCCCCCCACATTCATCCTGCGGCCCCCCTCCCCGCGTCTACGGCCCTCCCCGGCGTCTACGTCTGCCCACGCCTCCACCTCATCGCCCCATAACATACCCCACCACGCCCCCCGCCCCCGGCAGCGCCGCGATCAGGCTCTCGCTCACCCGCCGTGCCATCGCGCGCGGCCGGATCGGGCGCACCCCCTGCGCGCGATTCTGCACGAGCGTCGACACGCGCGCGCGGAGGCGGCGCAGGCGCCCGACCTGCAGCGCGGTCCACGGCGAGGCGGTGATCGCCCAGGGCGAGGCGGCGGCGAGCCAGCGCGTGGGGGGCGGGGGGCGCGGGCGTGGCGCGCGAGGGAGCGCGCGTCGGGGTATATGTCGGGGGCGAGCGCGGGGCGCGTGGTGTCCTTCGCCGTGAGCGAGGCCGAGGAAGTGGACGACGCCCGCGCGCGCCGGATAAACCCCTTGACGCACCCCACGAACCACATCGCGTGGAGCGGGAACACGAACGCGAGCAGCGCGGAGACCACCCTCGTGCCCCTCACAGCCCCGACTGCTCGTAACGCGGCGCCCAGCACGCCGGCGGGGGACAGTATGGGCGCCGCCGCGTAGCCGCCGTCTGCCGCGGAGAAGACGGAGGAGGCGGGAAGGGGCGCGACGGGGAAGAGGACGTAGGAGATGATCAGCACGAGATGCAGGACGATGCGCGTCGCGAGGAAGGTCGCGGCGAAGAGCGTGTTGGAGCGCAGGCGCGGGAAGAGCGTGGAGGCGCCGAGGAGGAAGGTCGGGAGCTGCGGGGGTATGTCAGCGGGAGTCACATAGCAGGGAGGAGGAGAGAAGCGCAAAGAAGAGTGGTGCGAGGAAGAAGGGGAACGCGCATAGGCAGCCCAAAGGGGGCTGCGGAGGCGGCAGTGGCGCACGGGCTGCGGTGGCGGCAGTGGCACACTGCAGAGGGATACGTGGCGCACGGACGTGGCGAAAGGGGTAGAGGGAGGGAGGGAGGGATACGGATTCGGGTGTGTGGGATGCGGAAGGGAAAGGGCATCGACGGAGCCTTCGTCCAGCATCTGAGGACGCGGCGCCGAGGGTCCACTAGGAGAAGGGGAGGAGAGGGGCGAGGAAAGGGAATGAGGGAGGGTCCGTGCGCGAGTAGCAAGGATGGGACGCCAGCGCACGGCTGGCCAGGACGCCAGGAACGTAATAACGAAGGAAGGCGCAACAAAAGGAAGAGCACGAAAGGGGAGGGAAAGGAAACTCGAGACGCAACGCACCTCCATAATCGCACACATACAAAAGATATGCGCCCAGCCGTTGCGGATGGCAATCTCGGTGATCCCAAGGTACACCGCGTGGTGCACCCAGCCCGTCAACAAACCGACCTGCGCGCGGTACGCGAGTGCGCCGACGAGAAGGTCCGCGGTGAGGTACGCCTGAACAACCGAATGGCTCATATCAGCATCCTATTCCACTTGGAAAGACGAAAGGGGGAGACGCACCTGGAAGAAGCGGTTAACGGCGCATGCAACGTCGGCGCGGAGCAGCACGGCGCCAACGTCGCCGCGGGCCTTGATGTAGTCGGCGAGGAAGGGCAGCGCGGCGGCGGTCATGAGGCCCGAGGCGATGGTGGTGAGGATCCACGCGGTCTGGCGCGCCGTGGCGAAGCGCGCGGCGAGCAGCGGGTACAGCGCGCACAGCGAGACGAGCGTCGGGAGGAAGATGCGCGCGCTCGCGAGGTCCATGTCCATGAGGGCCTTCCCGCCGTACGAGGTGGCGGACGCAACGAAGCGGTCGACGACGAGGGTGGAATTGGCGTGCATCGTCGAGCTGGCTCTCCACTCTAGACTGGAGAAGGACTAGGAAAGGAAAGTTGGCGTCAGCCGTCGCGCGCGAAGGGCATTAATGAATCGCTGCACAGACCCACGTTCGTATGCGCCCGATTTGATAAGGGAGGAGAGGCGTGCGCAAGGGGTTAGGGCGGCGCTTAGGGACTCGGCCCGAGCGCCGAGGAACGTGCGGCGTTTGACGTTCGTGGAGAGTCGAAGGGAGTCGAAGGGAGTCGAAGGGAAGAGTGGAGGCAGTGGAGGCGGCGCGGGAGGAATGGAGTGGAACGGAGGGCACAGCAGGGAGAGTCAACGGTATTAATGCTATCGCCGGATCCTCTGCTGCCTCACCGCCAAGCGATCACTGACTCTACTACGCCCGCGGATCATCCCAATCCAAACGGCAACACGCTCGAAATGCCTCGCCTAGGATGTACATACCCCCAAACGACGCGAATTTTATCGAAATTGATTTGATGGCACGGCGTCCAGAATTCGAATTCGAATGCGATTACAACTACAACAATTACGCACCCGCCTGCCCTCGCTCCTCGTTCCCGACAAACGTGGTTGCCTGCTCTACATTATTCCGCGCTGTCTCGATAACGGCGGCCCTGAGCACCACGCCACCGCCATCGCCATCGGGCGCGGAGCCCTCCCAATAAAGACGCGTTAAATTAGACTGGCAGGCTCCAGCATTCCGAATTTCGAAGCTGTTGGCTAAAGCTGTTGTACACTGCTACAGTTCCCGCCTTCCCAACCCTCTACGACAAATGCAAAAACAAAACGAACTTGATTGAGACAGCCTCTTTCTCGGAGATTGACCTCGATTGACTTTCGGAAATTGACTCTGCGATTTGACTTCGGGTGCCGTAACTTGGAGGCCGAGTCCGAAGTCGTTGATTGACGTGGGACGAGATGGTGTTCGGCATGCCGGCAGGTCGGATGTCCCGGCTGAATTTCGGGTTGAGTTTTTTCAACTTTTGGTCGACTGTTGGTCGACGTTGGGTTGTATGAATTTCGGGTCGACGTTTGGTTGACATTGGTTGCAGTTTGGGTCGACTTTGGCTCAGTGCGACTTTGCCTTCCAGCTGTCCAACTGCCTAAATAAAACAAATACAGAACACAAAACACAAAAGCCGAGCTAGCACGCCCTACATTGCCTCTCACGCTCCGAGACTTGAGTCAGGAGTCGTAAAAATCAAGCGCCAAGCTCTCGTCGGCGAGGAAAAACGAAGCCGGCAGAGGGAGGCGGACGCGGGGAGTCGAGCCCCGGCTTGCTGCTTACAAGAGTTCCTTCAAACTTATTCAAGCGATGCAGCGGTGCGGCGTACACCACGTCCGCTCATTCCCTTAGTTTCTACCCTCTTTACGTCCGAGCTTTCTGAGCTGCTAAAGAAAAAGAAAGGGAAAGGTGTCGAAGGCGGACGCGGGGAGTCGAACCCCGGCTTGCTGCCTCAACTCAATGGAATCTACGATGCGCAATGCAGCGGTGCACCGTACACCGCGTCCGCTTCATACCTCAGTACTAGGCTCAGTTCTAGGTACGAGCTTTCGGTGCTCTTCGGAAATAAAAACTTGGTGGCAGGCCACTATGCGGACACGGGGAGTCGAACCCGGGCTTGCTGCTTCAACTACTGGAGTCGGCGATGGAATGCAGCGGTGCACCGTACACCACGCCCGCTTTCTCCCTCAGCTTCTGGCAGCCCTACATTCCAACTGCGGGAGCTCGAGGAAAACAAAAATGGAACGGCGGCACGAAGGGCGGACCCGGGGCGTCGAGCCCCGGCTTGCTGCTTCAACCTGGTAGTAGAGGTCATAACGAGGCAATGCAGCGGTGCACCGTGCACCACGTCCACTGTCTACCTCCATTATAGCCCCTGCTAAATCCGGGCTTTCGGCGCTGTTTTCAGCACAGACAAAGAAACGGCAGAGGACCGAAGGCGGACGCGGGGAGCCGAACCCCTTTGATTGGGTGAATTCAGAACTGGTAATGCAGCGGTGCGCGGTGCACAGCATCCACTTCGCCCCTCTATTTCAGGGCCGAATATACGCACCGCTCGCGTAACCAAAGACAAAGAAGACTAGAAAAAAGCATCGAAGAGGAATGGGAAATGCGGACACGGGGCGTCGAACCCCGGCTTGCTGCTTCGATCTGGTTGATCCCACTTCCAGGAATGCAGCCGTGAACCGTGCACCGCGTCCGCTTATTCCCTCCTTGCCTGCGCTCCCTACGTCGGAGCTTTCAGGGCTCCTACATAGGAGATAAAAAAGAAGGGGGTGTGCATGCGGACGCGGGGAGTCGAACCCCGGCTTGCTTCAACTTTTGGAATACCTCGCAGGCAATGCAGCAGTGCACCGTGCACCACGGCCGCTTATTCCCTCCTTGCCTGCGCTCCCTACGTCGGAGCTTTCAGGGCTCCTACGTAGGAGATAAAAAAGAAGGGGGTGTGCATGCGGACGCGGGGAGTCGAACCCCGGCTTGCTGCTTCAACTTTTGGAATACCTCGCAGGCAATGCAGCAGTGCACCGTGCACCACGGCCGCTTATTCCCTCCTTGCCTGCGCTCTCTACGTCCGAGCTTTGAGGGCTCCTGGAGATTAAAAAGGGATGGGGCACGAAGGGCGGACGCGAGGAGTCGAACCCTGTCTTACTACTTACAGCAGTTATTCCTACTTCAATAATACAGCCGTGCACCATACACCATGTCTGCTTTCTAACTCCCTTCCTAGCATATGTACATTCCAACTTCCGGGGCTCTAGGAAAATAAAATAAAAAAATAAAAACGGTGAGCAGAAGGACCCAAGCGGATGCGGGGAGTCGAACCCCGTTCAACTGCTTGAAGGTGGCCGAATACGTATCCGGTGCAGTGGTGCGCCGTGCACCACGTCCGCTTATTCCCTCTATTTCAGGGCCGACCATATGCGGTGCTGTCGTAACCAAAGAAAACTAGAAAAAATCATCAAAAATGAATGGGAAATGCGGACGCGGGGAGTCGAACCCCGTTCAACTGCTCGAACTTAGTCCGAATATGATATCTGGGGCAGTGGTGTGCCGTACACCACGTCCGCTTATTCCCTCCCTTCCAGCCCTCTTTAAATCCGAGCTTTCCGACCCTGAACTGTTTTCAGCAAAGAAAAAATATAAATCAATCAGATAAGGCAGACGCAGGGGGTCGAGCTCCGGCTTGTAACACAACACGCGAGGTACACGCGAAAAATGTTGTAGCATCTGTTTATAAGAGGCTCATGCAGTGGTGCACTATGTCCGCTTTTTTCAGCCCTCTCTATATCTGACATTTTTATAAGTCTTGTGAGTAAAAAGTCACCGATCGTCGATGAGACTCATGCGGACACGGGGAGTCGAACCCCGGCTTGTTGCTTCAACTAGTCAAGTTTATAACGAGGCAATGCAGCGGTGCGCCGTATACCACATCCGCTTTCTGCCTCAGTTCCTAGCGGCTTTACATCCGAGCTTTCGGAGCTAATTTCACCAAAGAAAAGGAGAAAAACCTGGAGGAGGCGGACGCGGGGAGTCGAATCCCGTCTTTATTGCTGGAATAATACTATGGAGTGCAGTGGTGCACCGGGCACCACATCCACTTAATCGCTCCCTTACAGCCCTCTCTGGATCTGAGCTCTCGGGGCTCCCTGATGAAAACAAAAATACTGGGATCAATCATGCGGAGTCGAACCCCGTCTTGCTACTTAAAGACGGCGCGAAAGCTCGTTAAGGAATGCAGCTGTGCACCACATACCACGTCCGCTTATTCCCTCCCTTGCAGCTCACTCTACATCCTGGCTTTCAGGGCTCCTGGAAAATAAAAAGAAGAGTTGGAAGACTAAGGCGAATGCGAGGCCCGTTCAACTGCTTGAACATTGCCCGAATATGATATTAGGGGTACTGTACTTTTACATTCAATTCAAACGTCACGCTTGACCCACCCCCTGGTCGATGGCAAATGTTGGTTTTTTGTCACGCATAACCCACCCCCTGGTCGAATGTAATTTCCGTCACAAAGGCCTCAAAACTGCGTAAATTTGAACATTTTCGTTCCGGTGGTCGAAAATTTTGGTTCTGTCACGTAAAATTTTGGCCGTGGTCGAATGGTCGAATTGCTAATTCGGATCACGCGTCACACCCCCGGTCGAATTGAATGTAATAATACAGTAGTGGTGCGCTGTTCACTACTTCCGCTTGTTCCCTGTGTTCCTACCCGCTCTGCATACGAGGTTTCGGAGCTCTTGGAACATCAAAAAGGAGGGGTGCAGTGAAATGCAGATGCAGGGAGCCGAACCCCGTCTAGCTGCTTAAATATGGCACGAAAACTCATTAAGAAATGCAGCCGTGCACCGTAGACCACGTCTGCTTCCTCTCTCCTGTCTTTCAATCTCTATATCAGAGCTTTCGGGGCTTTTAGAAAATCAAAAATGCGGGGGAAAGCCTAAGGCGGATGCAGGGAGTTGAACCCCGGCTTGCTACTTGCAAGTTCTCAAACTTGTTCAAGCGATACAGTGGTGCACCGTACACCACGTCCGCTTTCTCCCTCAGTTCCTAGCAGCTCTACATTCTAACTGTGGGAGCTCGAGAAAAACAAAAATGGAACAGGGGCATGAAGGGCGGACCCGGGGAGTCGAACCCCGGCTTGCTGCTTCAACCTGAGTAATCCCACTTCAAGGAATGCAGTGGTGCACCGTACACCACGTCCACTTATTCTCTAGGCAACAAAAAAAACAGGTGGGAGGAGTAGGTGGACAGGGGGAGTCGAACCCCGTCTTTCTGTTTTTATGGCAAGAATTGGTGAAGAAATGCAGCGGTGTGCCGTACACCACGCCCGATTATTCCGTGGGCTTCTGCCCTCTATACATCCGAGTGTTTCGGGACTTAGTCTCCTGATTAAAAAAAGTTGCAGAGAAGTAGGCGGACCTGGTGAGTCTACTAAGTAACACAGGGGGCAAAAGCCCATTGTAGGTCAGCTGCAGTACACCGTGCAATATAAAATCATATTGCTGTGAAATTTCGGTGCCTCGAGGCACCTCGGAACACACGAGCAGCAAGCCCGGTTTTACAGCCTATAACAGTATCAAAGGTGCGATCGAAAAATTTCCTGTTTCGAACATTTTCAAAGAATTACCCATAACTCAGTTCCTGGTGAAGTTGCATGAAACCTAGCTAGATTTGCTAGGCTAATTCATATGGAATTAGTGAAAGAGACAAACTTGTAAAAGTATCTCATCTATATTAAAATTGAGCTCCCCGCTCTTGACTCGAGTCAAACATGATCCGAAAGTCCCCGAGCTCTACTGACATCCGTCGCTCCACGGGCCCACCGGGATGTTGAATTGTGCACGACTGCTCCACTCAACTGTTGAGTTTCTATTTATAATTGTTCAATTGGTAAGTTCGACTCAAGTTGGTATCGTTTCGTCCCCCATGAGCACCAGAGAACCTGGCCACTAATTTATCACTCCACTTCTCAAACCAAACCGAGCCATTCTTAATCAAGGTTATCTGACATCTTTTGACTGCATCCTACGAACATCATCAGAGTCCTTCAATTCAAGATTCCCGAGAAAGTATCAGCACTCGACTTGGTGCGGATAAAACGGGCAACTTCACAAGTCTCGAAATTTGCGACCAGGTGAATCAATGCTTACCTGCCATCAATGATGTTCAGTCAACTGAATTATACACGTACATATACTACGAGGGTTCCTGTCTAAAAAATACGAGATAATTAGCAGAATGTCCATGATGTCACGAGGAGCCAACCGAAAGTTGGCAACAAGCGGTGTCTTCATTATTCATACTAATGTGACCGGCAAATTCTGTATTTTAGCACGGGGAACTGCCCAACTAAAACCTCACACTGTTATATGGTCTGACCGTAGCGAAGCACGGGTTACTGCTAGTGGTGAATGATCTAGGATTTTAAGCCATTTTGGGGATGGATGTGCTCTAGCGCCATGAGAACTCATGTAGTCAACCTGGATTTTTGTGAGGGAAGACTTACATGGATTTGGAAGGATAGTGGGTGATGCTGTACAAGGTGCGTTGACTTTTACATTATCCCTAGTAATTCTCGAGTCAAAGAATCCCTGACCCATTGAACTTCTGAAGGCGCATTTGTGTAATCCTGCCGGCTTACCTACAGACTCACACATGCACACACACATCACCAGAGCCACCTTCATTTCTTGACATTGTACCACTACTTGCTTTTCCTGGACTCTCACTAGCTAGACACAACCCCTGGAAAGGGTCTTATTGTTCTGTCTTGGTCTCCTTCCTTTTTTCCTCTTTTTCTTGGTCTCTGCGAACTCCCAGGTGAGCATAATTTCATTTTTTGAACAATATCAGCCATTTCCGTCTCGCCGAGTCGGTACTGAAGCCTACGTACTTCATAGTGCTTCGTCCCCTCAGCGTTCCACCCTTCATGCCCCACACTCGCACCATCGAGCTTCACAAGAGCTCGCCATAGCCTCCCACATCGCCACTGTGCAATCTCTGCACCCATCACTCATGCCACGTCATCAGGCTGGCACACGTTCCCTCACAACCCACACTGCTGACGACTCGCAGTCGCAGCACGAACAAGTCAACAGCACCCTCACCCTCGCACCTTCCATCTGTCTCACCATCTCTGCCCTCACCGCCATCTACAGTGACGACATCAGACTCAGACTCGGACATATACGCACCCACCATCCCTCTCACGACCACCATGTCTAAGATTGCCACCGTCAATGCCCTCATGGGCAAGGCCCCCATCCGCTCTGCTGGCGATGCGATGCCCTCCATTGTTCACGAATGGGAGCTTGCTGCCAACACCTACTTCACCATCAAGTCCATCACCGCCAACAAGCACATCGCCATGGTCATGGGTGGCCTCCCACTGGACAATAAGTAATATACAGGGCCTCAGTATATGCTCAGTATTTTACAAATATCCCCGGAATATACATGCAAAATATGGAGGCCATATGTGCTCAGTATTTTTGAAACATACTGAGGATATCCTTACAATATCCTGAGGTCTGATGGCTACCATATATGGACTCGGGATATGCTCAGTATTTAGAAACACAACATGTACAAACAATGTTGGGAGTCTGTACATGCCTTCCAACATACAGGTACAAATATGGGTCGATATCCCACTGATATTCATCTACGGCCCAAGTGGCCGGTTTCCTGGTCGAAAATAGTAGGTTGATATCGGCATAGGTTGATATGGTCTCCAGAACCACTAGAGTTGTTATCATTCACTTGTAAGATGAAATTTAAAGGACATAACTCAACCTAGATAATAGGTTGGAACAGGTCAACCTACAGTCACCAGAGAATAGGTTGAAAGTGGCTCCTCAGCCTAGAATATATTGAAAATCATACTGCGGCAGCCCCATAGTGTAGGATAAATGATGCTGGACTCGGTGGTGTCTGAATAGGCTATGTTTCCTTCCAGAAGTTGATTTTCAGTGATGCGAGACGGTCGATGATACGCCTACTCCGGGACTGAGAGCGGAGCTGAACAGTAAATGAACAACAGCACCCTGAGCCCTCGGAATAGATGTGATGTGCGAGGTGGGTCTAGCATGTTCTGATACCGGTCAGGTATGTGAGGGGACAATGTTGGGGACATGGGCATGGCTTCAGCACAAACAGTGTGCAACGGGAACTCGGTCTTCAGTGCTAATACAGTGTGATGGGGCTTCAGCACAACAGTGTGCGACGGGGTGACTTCAACACAAGATGTGTGATGAGGAGAATGAAGGACTGGAGGCGATATGCTGTAAAGCAATGCACAAGGACGGAGGGTTGAGCTTTATTGCAGTGGGGTGCAACTGACTGAAGTACATGGTAAACTACAAGGGCTTTTATAGTAAATGGATAGGCTCAAAGGGGATGCGTACACTGTGCAGAATGGGCTGAGTAAGGCCGAGTAGAGTGAATACCCGAGGCTTCGTAAGCTGTTTGAGTCAGCACTCAGTACTTGGTGCTCGGTAGTGCTTGGTAGTGCTCGGTGCTGCGAGCTCAGTATCCGAAAGGGGACTTGATGAACCGTGGGAGC